CTTTTCATTAAATTGAGCATGCCTACTTGAAATTTAATTGATTGTCTTGATGATTTGAAAGTGATTGGTGAATTATGATTTTTCTGTTAACTTCTGCCTGTTTTGTCTTCGATATAGTCATGTTATTCATGTGCCCGCTAGTGGGAGGTTTATAAATGCTAGCACATGTCGACATGTTACTGATAGAATCAGTTCGTTTCTGTTATCCTGCTAGTGGGAGGTTTATAACACTGGCCATGACCTATAGAGGAGACGTCTATTTCATTTTCATACTCGTACCTGTTTTTCGTGATTATACTGGTTGGCATGCTATAAGTTTAAGTAAGGGCTATCCATATTTACTTACTGAGTTATCTCATAGTTTTTCCTTGTCCACCATTTTAGGAAGTGAAGTCAAGAACGAGGAAACCACGGGAAGTGACAAGTTAGAAGGCTAGCCATTTCGAGATTGATATAGATTTTAGAAATAAATCATGCTTTTGTAAGATAGATTTTACCTTGAGATTTTGAGATTAAGTGTTGGACATAGAATTAATTTGAAATATATTATTTAAGTTATTGGATTGTCAGATGTGAATTGGATTAGTTTTGACCCTTGTGCATTTGTGAGACCCTCTCACGAGTGCACGGCATCTGCCACGTTCCTGGATTTGAGTTCTGGGACATGACAAATTTAGTGGTATTAAAGTTTAAGTTTAAATTAAGAGCTTAGGATTAAATTAAGCACCTCCAAATTGAGTTGTAAATACCTAGGTTTAATTAAATACCTAGGATTTGTTTGGAACTTGGCTGGCCAATAGATTTTAGAATCGTGGTGAGACGAGTGATGGGGTTATATAAGGGACGATTCTGATTCGTGTTGCCTGAATTTTCTAATCCATTTTGATGAGACGGTAATCTAATTGTTCTTGTTTCCTGCCTTCCTACCTTGTGTAGATTCAGGAAATTAATCTTGTCCGCCATGTTCTTAAGACCTTGTTTTGAAACTTGGTCATTTTCTGATAGTTTGCACTTGTTTAGACTTGTTACGTGAATAGAGTTTTTGTATGCTCTTTTGCCACAATCGTAAAATCTAGGGAGTTGCAGAGATTTTTTGTTATTGATCCTATTGGTCTCTACAACATAGCTGGTTGAGAATTTGTTCTGTTTGTCACATGACCAGTGGAAGATGGGCAACCCTCTACTATGTAAGAGATTCAAGGTTATTTTAGCAAATGTTGTGTGTTTTCTAGATGCGTTTTAGTAGCTGGATAGCTTGGTAATTTTGCTGCTCATTATCTTTTTGAAAGTCTTATAATGAAGTTTCACTTATTCCATTTGGAGCTTCATGGTCTTTTGATGTGCCTCATTTTTCTATATTGGTTAACAAAAAATAGTGATTATTCAATTGAAATTGCTGTGTTTTTGTGAAGATTGGCAAGTGTCATAAAGTTAAACTCTCTATTGTTGCTAATCTCTACATTCTTGATACTTGAAAACTGCTTGAAACTCTTGAAATCCTTCTTGAATCTTTCATGAGATTGCTTTGTACTTGTTCTTGAATCTGAAATCCAAAGGAAATGGATAATGATTATTGAAATCCTCATTATCGAAATCCTCATTATCTTGATATTTATCTGAAATTAATTCTTGCGCTGTTCTTGGAATCTTATCTTGAACATTGTCTAGAGTAAAGTCATGTTAGCATCTTTTTCTTGAAAAGCAATTGATATTTGGTTTTTGGAATCTATTTTGAATTGTCCTTGAAAACCATTCTTGTCCTGACCCTTGCTCTTGCTCAAATTCTGTATATTGCTCTTGCTCAAATCTTACATATTCTGCTAGTTCTTGTTTTAGTATACCTGTTGATCTTCTTGATTTTTTATTTTGTTCATGTGGACACCTCTTTAGGAGGGGTGATGATTATTAGAAAATACCTATATGAGGCATCCTAATTCTTGTCTCTTACAAGTGATGATTATTAGAAAATACCTATATGAGGCATCCTAATTCTTGTCTCTTGCAAGTGTTAATCTTTGTATTCTTGATGTCTTAGCTTTGACTTGACTCTAAGATGTTTAAGATGACTTGATTGTAAATCTATTTAGCCTCCATGGGCTACGAGGTGAAGGGGTAGTCTTTTAAGTACCTGATGCCCTAGGGTTTTGTTCCAAGAGAAATGGTCCTTTTATCTGGTTGTTTTGATTTTTGTTTGCCCTTTTAATTAGAAGGCAGTAATCTTCTAAATATCTTGATCCCCATTATTGATTCTTCTGTTAATTAATTCGTATTACTTGGGGTGCTAGACCTTGACATCTTGGTTGTATCTGCTTTTGAATCCGTGTTCTGGTTGTCATTATTGAAATCTCTTTATGGGCTTAATCCTTGAATTCTATTGCTTGTTTCATGGTTAACTCGTCTCTTAATTTTGACTGCTTGGTTAAATTTGATCTTGATTCTTGGTGAATGCTGTTTTGTTGTTGAATTTTTGAGGCATTCTACCTTGCACTCTTTTGTTCTAGTATCCTTCCAAGCATTCATATTTTCCACTGATTTCATTTTGATGCTATTCTGGAAATTTTACATGTCATTTGATGGGTCTAGCTTTTAACTCTTGTTAATTGCTAAAATCTGTCTCGTGATTCCAATTGCTTTGTTAAACATGATCGTGGTTTTGTTTAACCTTGTTGTGACAGAATTTGTAAGGCATCCATGCACTTGTTCACTCATTCATAATCCATATATCCATTGGATGCTTATCCGTCTTTGATAGAGTTCAAAGTTTTGTTGTACTCATCTTTAAATCCATGCCATTTTTTGCTAACTCATCTTGTGTTGGGTTCATAGCATAACCCCACAATTGTTCTTTTGTGGCTTTGGCAGGATTTATTTTTATTCCTTGTGCTTTCTGTCTTACCTTAGCCTCTAGTAGCTTGTTCATGGTAAACCCTGTTAAGTAGTTAATGTTCTGTTTTTAGGATTAGTTTTAGTTTGATATCAGAGTGGCGCAACAGAAGTGTAATAAGCTAGGTTCTGATCATGGAAAGTTGGTGGAACATCTGTTTTGTCTTGGATTGGGTGAAGCCATTCACCAGTCTAGATGGTCCTCAATTTGAGTTTTGGGGACAAAACTCCTTTTTAGGAGGGGTGGATGTGATACCCCAAAATTTTCTAGAATATTTAAGTGTGAGTTAGGGACTAACTTGTGAGGAAATATTATTAGTGAACTTAATGGAAATTTGTGTTAAATTCAAGGGATTTAAAAGAGGAAAATTTGGATAAGGATGGCTTGTTTCTTTTCTTCTTCTTCCTTTCTTCTTCAGCCCGCGTGCTTCTGCTCTTCCCGACCCTACTGCAGCCGAAACAAAAAAAAAAAAGGGAACCAAGCAAACCGACAGCCATCCCTTGAAAAACCCGATAGAAAGCTTGAAATTTCTCCTTCTTCTCTTGTTAAATAACAAGCATAGAACCCAGAAATCCTTCCCCCCCATCTGCAGAATTCCAGATCTGCTC